GCGGTCTCCGCGTCATCGACGATGCGCTCCAGGATGAACTGGGCGATTCACTGGCCTTGGTCAACCACCTGGGCCGCGGGAGGGCGTTGGCCATAATGACCTTGATCTCTCCGCGGTGGTCGGGGCCCGCCGCGCCGCCCGAGTCGCGAGAGAGGCCGCGCCCGGCGCGCTGGTCGTAGCCCGCGGACCGCGGCGAGCCCTGCGCTGGTGCCCTTGCGTTGGGGCCCAAAAGCTGAATCTTGGGCCTCCTGTGCTTGCGACCGTCGCCGGCGTTGCGTCCTAGTGGTTGTTGCCGACTGCCAGTAGCGCGAACTGCTTGGGTTGGCTGCCCCCCGGAGGACGGCTGGAGTCGGCCAGAGCTTTCCACTGAAATGCAACAGTGGCCACCGGGCGCCGATTTCGAGTCGAAGTGGATGGTGCATGGGCCCCAGTTGATGTTGTATCCGTCGTTTGCGCGCTACGCCTGTCTCCGCCGCCCCGTCTCCGGGCCGCGCGGATTGCAGATCGAGGAGGACGGGGGTATCAAAGTCTGCGACCTCCACGGCCATGGCGCGCATGCCGTGCAGCGTGTTCACGTCGTCGCGGGTGGTAACTGCAATGGGGCAGTGTACCTCCCAGCGCGCAACCTGGGGCCCGTTGCGGACTCGTGCCGCATAGAATGGAGTCGACAGCTTCTCCTCCGCGGGCACGAGCATCACCCCCGGGCCTCTTCGATCACGTTCATGGCCAAACGTGGGCCCCAGAGTTTGGTCCTGACTAGCTGCCGGGGAAGTCGGCGCTCGCCAAACAAAAGGGTGAGTCGGTCGGAGAACTTGCGCCTGCATCTAGAGAGGTAGGCCACCGCGGGAACGCGGGTCGGCGCAGCGGCATGCGCAGGCCCAGGTGGGCGCCATATGCCTACCGCCACATCAGCGGCAAACCTGGAACTGAAAGCGCTGTCTGGTGATTGCATAGGATCCTTCCGCGGAGCCCCAGGTGCTTGCGCGGGCCGAAGAGACTGCGTGAGATCTGCCGCGGTGGGGCCCCACAGACACGTCGTCGCCCGATGCCGAGCGGGCCGGCGCCATGGGGGTCAGGCCCGTCGGACGAGGGTCTGCCGCGCGGGTCGACGACATAATCATCGGACCCGCCGCAGTACGATCTGCATCGATGGAACGGAAGTCGGCGATGACGTCGGCTGGGCCTCGGCACGCAAGGCAATGCATCACGTTAGCGTCGGTGTTCCGCGCGAGCTGCAAGTGGCATGCGTGGTGCAAGATGTGGCGGCGCTGCAGGCGCGCCTACCCTCTCGCTGCGCACGAACGCCTCGAGGCAAACCGGGCGCCCCCTATCGTCGCCGTCGAATGCAGCAGCGGGGGGGGGGGCGCAGCAGGCGGGGCAGCAGGGGCAGGCAGAGGATTCGCAATGGTGTCTGTCCAACTCTGTGCGGCTTGGCGTCGCTGCTCGCCCTGTTGTCGTAAGAACCCTAGCGCTAGCTGGGCGCAGTGGAGCTCGTCGGCTTGTCGAGGCGGCGTCGCCGCGCGCGGTCGAGATGCGGCGCCCGCGCCGCGTTCGGATTAGGCGCCGCGAACCAGCGAACCGCGAACCCCGAACCGCGCCGTGATTGGTCTTTCGGCCAGCGAACCACGCGGCCGCTCTCCCTGGTGGCTGACTCGCGCCGACGGAGACGTCCGAATTGAACTGAACCAGATCATTGGGGGACTCTGGCGCTGGCGGCGACGCAGATACCTGCGCGGCCTGCGGCGGCCGCGTGGAGCTTGATCCACTCGGCGAGCTGACGCCGAGGGCTGAGACCGATGGCGCACAATCCCAAGTCGGCAACTGCGCGTCGGCCGGCGAGGTCGCAGGCGCGGCGACTTGGGCGTTCATGGCGCTCACCCAGTCGCATCGTTGAGATTGCCCCGGCGGGTAAGCGTTGGCCAGCCCAGTCCACCGCGGCGGTCTCGGCGGCGGCGGCGTTGCAGATGCTGCAGGAGCCGCGGGCGCTGCAGGCGCGGCCGGCGCTGCGCCTTCCACTCCTGCCGCACGGGCCGGCGGCCGCGCAGTTGCGGGGCCCGCAGTTCGAGCGGAGCCTTGCTCCGCGCGGCTCATGAAATCAGCCATCTCCTGACGCAGTCGTCGCCGCTCGCCCTCGCGCGGGCCAGGCGGGGCGAGGGGGCGGGGCCCCCGCCCAGCTCGACCAGTGGCTGCGGCCCACTGCTTGCCGCGACCCGTCGGATGACGCACTTGACGCTGCTGTTGTGGCTTGTCGCGGCGCTGCCGCCGCTGGAGTCGGTCGACCGCCGCTCTGGGGCGGCGCTCTGCGCGGGGCGACCGTCGCTGGGGCGCCCCCCCAGCAATGCGCGGGGAATTCTAGAGGTGCCCCCGGTCATCCAGACCACGCGCGCGCCTGGCGCCGGCGGCCGAGCGGCGGGCCCAGGCGCCGCCCGCTGTCCCAGACGTGCTGCACGCGCAGAGGGCGCAGGAGGCAGTGGTGGCCCCGCTGAGGCCGGCGCGTTCCCGAAGAGCTCGCCCTTGCCGGCGGCGAAAGATGCGCGCGCCGCGTCGTTCCGCCGGGGCGTCGCGTAGCTCGGGGTTGCCGGCGGCGACGTCTTCGCTGGACGAGTTGACGGCGTCGGAGTCGGCGCCGGAGGCGACGCCAGCCGCTGGGCGCGCCAACTTGCGCCGAAGACGCCGCGGCAACGCTTGCAAGCGGGCTGGGTGCTGCTCCCAGGGAAGCGGGGCCCGCGCCGTTCCTTGCCTGGCGAGCCCTCGACCACGTGCCCAAGCCGTCGCAGCTGGCCAGTCGCGTGCGACTGCTGCTGCGCGTTCGCCGGGTAGGCGATGTTGTAGTGTTGCCGGGTCAGGGTGAAATTAGACGTTCGCAGTTGCCTCGAAGCCGATCAAAAATTGACCAGCCTGCTGCGCCCTGTCGCGGAAAATGTCAAACCTGTTGGGAATGTCAAACCGCGGCAATCGGTTGAAGTGCGTCAGGGCTTGCGCGAGCTCCTCCCCGCCTAGCTGGCCCCGACCATCGGCCAGGCTGCGCGTCGGGCGGGTCGCGGGCGGCGCCCCCCTGGATCAGGACAGCGGGCGGCCCCTCGCCCGCGCACTCGCGCGCCGCGCCGGCGAGGCGAGACGATGCGCAGGACGCTTGTCAGAACTCGTTGATACGGGAGTTCGCCACTGACCAGGTCAATGCCTCACGCGCCCAGCGTTGGGAAGTGCGCGCGAGCTTGTTGCTCGGGCCCACAGGTGCGGAGGTGTCGGACGCTGCCGCAACCGCCGCCGCCGGCGCCCATGCAGGCGACGAAGCTGGCGGGAGCCACCATGCTCACTTCGACAACCTTCCATCCGGAGCGCAGACTCCTCCATGCATGAGGAGGTGCTGGGGTCTAGGAACCCGCCTACTGCCATGCCCAGGCAAACCTCGAAGCCGTCGTGGGCATCTGTCCTGGGCATGCTCCTCCACGTCATCGTATCGGGCATTGCCGTCTGTCGTGCAACTGTGATGCGATCGGCACCCGGAACATCCTGCAACAAGGTCATGGGAATGCTCGTCGTGCGTCGCGCCATCGCTGTTCTGGGCACCGCCAGATGTACGACAATCAGGCGGAGTCTGCATCGGGATCCAGGTCTGCCAGGCAACGGAATGTTTGCGTGATGTGGAAGGTTATGTTCCAAGGGGCCGGAGACGGATATTCTAAGATTCGTTGCGTGGTCCGCTGGGGAGATGACAAAATAGAGTCGTCTGACCCTCCAAGTTATCCTGTCGCTCTTTCCTCACTGTATCTCCCGCGGCTTCAGCAAAATGGTCACGGGGAGCTCGGTACGTTTGGCCGACACCTCTGGTGTGAACGACGGATAAGTTGACTGTCTGACACCCGCGGCTGCACCCACAGACGGATATAACAGAGGTTTCGTGGCGGGTGCCAATTTCTCACAAGGCTCTTGCAATACAGTCGCCGGGAACTCGGTGCCCGTCGCCAGCAATGTAGACGTGAACGTTGTGTCAAGCAGCCGCATGACGTCCGAGGTTCCACTCACAGGCGGATGCAGTGATGGCATTGGGTCCGCGAGCTGCTCAGACATAGTCTGGGCCAACCCATGAGAAGGCGCTGGGAAGGAAAGCGCGAGGGCGCGGCCCCTGGAGTCGAAGTCCCTGAAGTCGTAACTGAACGTCTCCCCCATGATCGTTCCTGACGGCTGGGCGGGCGTTGCCCCGACGGACCCTAACAAAAACCGTCGCCTGCCGCGATGTATGGGCAGACGAACGCGAACACTGAAAACACGGTCCATCGCGATGTCGTCGAAGCTCGTTGATCACGGTGGGCTTGATGTCGAAGTCTTTGTGCAGTTTGTGTCACACGGCGCGGTGGAACACAATTCATCTAGACACCGCAGGAAGGGAGTGCCGCGCGGGCCATGGCTGCGGCGGCGGCGGTAGCGTGGAAGAGACCTGGAGCTCCGCTGCCAACTAAAAAGTAAAGGATCAGGATGTAGATGGCACCTTCTACAACACCGAACACTGTGTGTGAGTCATACGAGAATAAAACGGGCACGGCAGGTTGCGACCTGCCGTGCCCAGGGCACAAATGGCGTCGGCAGGGGAAGACGAGTAGTCAAGGCAGAGGGTTGACCTACCCCTCGAGTGCGAGAAGCACGAGGGTAAAAACGACGAGGATGCTCCTCCTCCTCCTCCTCCTCCTCCTCCCACTCCTCCTTTCCCATCTGTCGTTCATCACCGTTTCTTCTCCGCCGCTCTCCTTCCTCCTCCTCCTCCTCTTCCCCTCATTCTCGTGTTCCTCCTCCTCTGTCCTGACTCCTCCAGCCCCGCTCCTCCTCCTCCTCATCCCCCCTGCCCCCCTTCATCCTCCCCCTTCTCCCATGGGCGTGGGGAGGACAACGCCGACGGTTGCGGCGGCGGCGACGACAACCAATTACACGGCCGCGACCACGGCGAAGCTGAGGATGACGACCGCGCCGGCGACGGCGACGTCATTCATGACGGCGGCGACGTCCTGGCCCGGCGCTGCGCCAACGCGCCGGCGCCGCACGCCCAGCAACGCGGCGCTGCCGCCCTGGAGCTCAGACAGCCTCGCCTCCAGAGAGGCCTGGTCGAGCGGGACGGGGTCCGCGATGAGCGGGGCGCGGAACCTGGGGGGGCGGGCGGCGGCGGCCGGGCGGCGGCAGGCGACGGCGACGGCGACGGCGACGGCAGCGGATGGCGGCGGAGGCGGACGGCGACGGAGGCCGCGGACGCCAGCGGAGGCGGACGGCGGGGGCGGCGGCGACGGCGGGTGCGACGGCCTCGACGGCGGAAGGGGTCATGGGCAGGAGGGAGGCAGGATGGGGGCAGGGGAGGGGGCGGGGGGATGGGGAGGAGGGGAGAAGGACTGGAGGCACGGGGGAGGGAGGAGGAGAAGGGCTCAGGAGGAAGCGCATCCAGGCACGTAATCAGGAGGAGAAGGAATGAGAATGGCAAGCTAGGTGTGCGGGAACAATGTCTGACATTCTACCCATCCCACCCATCTTCTCATATTGTCAACCCGCTGTCTCGAGTGCCCTAAAGAACCTTGTTCCCCAAAGTGGTCCCGTCCGTGTGATGCGCATTCGGAAGAAGGGGGCCTTACACAGTGGAAGAGCAGCAGGAGGTGGCGGATGAGCAGGAAAATGGGCGGGAGGAAGAGGAGGATGAATGGGGGATGGTGGAAGAGAAGCATCAAAGGAGCAGGATGCGGGGATCCCCTAGCCTTCAAGATTGCGCACGAAAGCCACCAAGGCCGCCGATGTAGCACAAGACTGCCCAAAGCTCAAAAAAAAATCAATATGTCCCAAGAGGCCTCTCACAGGCCGCATGACACCTCCAAAACGCTTTCCAAGGAGACCAGCAGCACTGCGGTCTAAGGTATTCCATTATTTGTCGTTTTCAAAGATATTCGATCGAAGGTCGGTTCCCTTACGGTCTCCCAAAGTTCACGGAGGCCCACTGAAGATCCGATCCTGGTTTTCAAACGGCTCCAAGATTCCTAAACTGACCGATCAGGGCCCCGCGACGGGCCCAAGAGGGCCTCTGAGAAGGCCCAAGAAAACTCCACAACGGCAAAACGTTTCAAATGGAGCTCAAGGCGCTCCCAATGCGGGACAGGAAGGCCCAAACATACCCCCAAACCTGCCCCATAAGAGCCCACGACAATCACCAAATCGCCCGACAATACTCGTCAACAACAAACTGATGTTGATTGGTTTCGGTGCTCGTGTGGTCGGTTCAATTCCAATGTTGGCATGACATATTTGGCCCCCGCACAGGGGTGTCCGAAATTCCACAATTCCATGACCGCATTGAAAGACACGTTTTCTGACTTATGTCAGAATTACCGAACGCTTCAATGTTGAACCGCGTGTTCGTTGATTTCCCACATCCCAAATGGGGTTCTTGAGTTCCGTGGACACCCCGCGCAGGAACACGAACACCCATTCCTTTTTCACTCACACACGCACACACTCACATCGTCATTATCCCCATCACCACATCACCACGATTGATTTACACACTCGCACACACTCTCATTATCAAAATCACTCAATCAATCACAACTACTACTCATCACTCCTCCTGCTCCTCTTCCTCCTCCTCCTCCTCATCGTCATCATCTGCGTTCTCATTACCACAACACCTTCGTCAACAAAGCCTCGTCGGTGAGTGAATTGCGAGGAAATCTCAGGCGGGAGCCCCCTCCGTGTGGGGCCCGCCAGTCACGATTTCAATCCGATCGGGCCATCGGAATCGTGTAATTGTCGTCACTTTGGGCCCGTGAGGCCTGAATGCGGAGGAAATATCAGGTGGGGGCCGCGTCTGTGAGTAAATTGCGAGGTAATCTCAGGCAGGAGGAGCCCTCTCCATATGGGGCCAGCCGCTCACAAATTTAATCCGAACGGGTCATCGGGATCCTGTAGTTGTCGTCACTTTTGGGCCCCTCAGTCCGGCGGGAGCCTCGTTTGCAAGTTAACTTACGAAGAAATCGCCAGTGGGAGCTTTATCTCTGTGGGGCCCGCCGCTCATGTGTTTAATCCAAGTGGGTCATCGGTAGCCTGTAACTGTCATCACTTTTGGGTTCCTGAGGCTTGAATGTGGCGGAGATATCCGGCGGGAGCCTCGTCATTGAGCGAATTGCGAGGCAATGTCTGGCGGCTGCCTTCTCTTTATCGGGCCCGCCGCTCATGTTTGTAATCCAAACGGGTCACCGTGATCCTGTACATTGTCGTCGTTTTTGGGCCCCTGTGGCCTGGATATGGAGGAAGTATCAGGCAAGTGGCGGCCGCTTTGTACATCGCGCTGGACCTTCGCGCGTGCCACGGACGCATTGACACGCACGACGTGCATGAATCCACGTACAAGCGGCCGCACAACCACTTCGTGCGCGCCCATCGTGTTGCACCTCGGCAGTTCCCTGCAGCGGTAGCCCACGAACAACATCGGCCTCCTGACGGACGTGAGCGACCTCCTGGACGACGGGTCCTACAAATACGCGGAGCCACCGACGGTGGTGATTCGGCACGCCATCGAAGTCTTCTCTCAGATCCCATGGGTCTTGGAGCTGAAAAGCGCGATGCGCTTCGAGCCGGGGGACCCTCTGATCACGTTCGCTTGGACTGCACGTGCGAGAGCAAGCCCTTCCCGCCAAAGGTCTGGCCCGCGTGGGAAGCGACGTTGGCCCTTGACAGCCACGGCGTCCTGGACCCTCGGCACCACCGCGAAAACTTTCGGCTCGGCTACTGCCTGGGCATCTACAGGGAGACGCTGGCGAAGTGGATCAACATGAGCGCTCGTCGCGACGCGCGGCGTCCGGGCGCGCCCCTCGTTTTCTTGCAGGCCGTGGACGAACGCAACGCGATTCAGGGCGATCCCGGCGCGGGCTGGCGCCTCCTGAACGTCCCGAACACGCACAACACGGGGGACATCCACAGCGTCTTACCGGCCCACGTCGGCATGGAGGTGCGGTTCACGGCAACGTAGGAAGAGCTGAAGAAAAAGTTGGGGCTCGCGCGTGATCAACGGGCCACCATCGTATCCTGCGGGTTTCAGCCCGAGGACGAGCAGCGGCACGAAGAGTGCTCGCCGGGCCAGCTTCTCCGCCCCCGCTACCTACCGCAGGCAATCTGGTTGCAGGCGCGCGGCTTCAAGGAGTCTCCGATCTACCAGGAGGTCGCCGAAGTGCTGCTACAGGGCCCCGACGGCGCCGGCGACGACGGCGAGGCCGGCGCGGGCGAGGAGCTTGCTCATCTTCAAGCCCAACGAGCAGGAACTCACGTGGCAGAGTTCGGGGCCGCACGCAGCGCGCCGCTCGGGGTTCACCATGACGCGCGCGTCATACCTCACCTCCACGCCGTCGCAGGGACAGACGCTGCGCAAGGGCGTCACCATCGACTGCGCGAAGGACCACGACGCTGGTCGCACGGGCATGTCGGACGAGCAGTGGTGGCTGCACCTCTACGTCATGTTCTGCCGCCCCACGCGCACATGCTAATCCTGCGGCCGACGCCGCGAGAGTTCTTGGAACGAGGGCCGCCGGCATCCTTGCGGAAGGCGCTCCTGGAGTCCGACGTCAGGGCGGAGCGCTCCAGGGCAGAGGCGGAACAGCTCGCGGCAGAGCTGGGTTTCGTGCTGCCCCCCGCCTGAGCGCGGCGCCCCCCCGCTCGGAACCCGCGGGGTTGTCCCAGCGGTTTGGTCTCGTGCGCCAGCAGCTCGCGTGGTTGTCCAGACGGCCTGGCCCGCGGGTCTGTTCCCCAAGCTGCGCGATTTCGCCGTCGGAGAGCGCGCCCCTGCCAGGCGTGGCGGCGGGGGCGCCGAGGACAATATACGCGCGCCCCTGCCAGGAGGAAGGAGAGGTGCAGGAGGAGAACGTGCGGGGCTGCGATGAGGAGGGGGGAGCGAGGAGGAGGAGGCGGAGGAGGGCAAGGCAAAGGCCGAGGAGAGGGAACATGCGGAGGAGAGGGAGGAACTGGAGGAGAGGAGGCGGGGGAGGAAGACGCGGAAGAGGAAGAGGATATGAAATGACACGAGTAGGACGAGAAGGAACAGGAGGACGAGAAGGAGGCAAAGGAGGAGGAGGACGGAGAGGGCGGAAGGAAGCCTCCGCCAGACGAAAAAGAAAAGGCAAGGGGCAAACGAAATCGATACTCATGTAGGGTCCTACCGTCGGAGTACTTATCGACGAGGCTTGCAATCATAACCATGGGACATCCTCGGGGAGCGGCGGCGAGACATATCACGGTGCCCACCTGGTCGTCATACATAATGTTTCATTGGCGCGGTGGCGGATTCGCTGGCGGCTCCTGGCCATGCACACGCATATCATGTGCGCCCTCGAATTAGGTGTAATATCACAAACGTATACACGCGCTTGAGCACGATAACGACAGACAGGTCGACATTTATATCAATCACTACATCACAAATCGCGGAATCTACAATTAATGGGCGGCATGAACTGCAATGCGCCGCTCTGTCTGACACATACGCACGTGCGAGGCGCAACGAAGAGAACCAATCGTTGCACACGCACGTGCCAATCACACCGGAACGGCTGATTCGCGCTTGGCGTCGCCAAGTCGCGGGCGCCCGAGAAGGCCCGCCTTATCATAACCCGACGGCATCGCCGGCTCTCGCTTACCCACAAAGCTTGCTCAAAGATACACCTTGCGAAATGCTCAAGAAATCATGGGTTCAGAAATTCATAGTCTCAGAACTTGAATAAATACCCAAAATTCATATCAAAACCTTAGGATTTACATTGAAACATTAAGAATAGTCGAGACTCTGGCCGAAAACTTGGGTTTTCTTAAGCATCGCCTAAGGTGTATTGGCGCCGACGCCTTCGAGACGAAGCGGATCATCACCGGACGGAGGGGAGGACGCGTGCGTCGTGTGCGCGCCGTGGCTGCTCTGGGGCGGGCAGGCGCCGCTGCGTTAACATCTCCAGACCCAGACCCCCGACGTCATGATTATTTAGGGGGAAACCAAACCTACCTCGCTTTTGACCACCCTCGCTTCCAAGAGATACCAAACGATGCCAAACTACGGCCTGTACTGGTCAGGCCGCTTGACGAGGAGGCGCGTGGTATGACTTGGTTATGCCTGGAAGCGAAAGCGGGGTAGGTAATTCACGCTCTGATTATTTCATGACCAGACCCACAAAGATCCGGACCCCTTCCTGGGATCCGTTTTTCATCCTGACTCGTTTTTGACGGTCCCGGGGGCCCGGCGAGGGCCCGAAGAGGCCAAGAATCAGGAAAAACCTCCCGTCGTGATTTTTTCATTGCCGGAGGGGGTCTGGGAATAACCCCAAGTTCCAGATAAAAAAATCCTGGGGATAATAAAGTTCGGGGTCCAGGCGGAAGAATACACGTTTTCCTTGATATCTCAACATAGTGATGAAGATGATGACGAAGATGAAGATGATGATGATGATGATGATGATGATGATGATGATGATGATGATGATGATGATGATGATGATCATGATGATGATGGTGATGATGATGATGATCATGATGATGCTGATGATGATGATGATGAGGATGAGGATGATGATGATGATGATGATGATGATGATGATGATGATGATGATGATGATGATGATGATGATCAAGATGATCCTGAACGTTCATAATAATAAGCAAATCCATCGGATTCCTGGAAATTCAAAGAAGTTCGATGGAAATCCATAGGGCTCCTCAGGATATCCATCGGAATCCTTAGGAAATCCATGGAACTGCTTGGGGAATCCATCGGAATCTTATGGAAATCCATGGGATTCCTTAGGATACCCATTGGAATCCTGAGGAAGTCGATGGGGATCTTCAGGACATCCATCGGAATCATATGGAAATCGATTGGATTCCTCAGGAGATACTTAGGAGTCCTAAGGAAATCGATTGGATTCCGCAGGAATTCCATTGGATTTCTGAGGACATCCATGGGAATCCGATGAAAGTCATAGGACTCCTTAGGATATCCATCGGATTCCTTAGGAGATACATCGGGTTCCTTAGGAATTCCATCGGTTTCCTTAGGAGATCCATAAGAATCTCATGGAAATTCTTGGGATTCTAGTGGAAGTCCATATCAATCCTTGGGAAATCGATGGGGTTCCGTAGGGAATCAATCGACGCCTTCGAAAATCCATAAGAATTCTTATGAACCACATTCGGATTCCGATGGAAATCCATAAGGTTCTTTAGGAAACCCATAAGATTCCTTCGGAAATCATGGGGCTCCTTCGGCAATCCATAAGGTTCCTATGGACATCCGTAGGATTCCTTAGGAATTCCGTCGGATTCCTGCGGAATTCCAGCGGATTCCTTTGAAAATCAATCGGGTTTCTTAGGACATTTAAGGGAATCCGATGGGAACCATAGGATTCCTCAAGATATCCATAAGCATCCAATGGAAATCTGTTGAATTCTTATGGGAATATATCGGATTCCTTCAGGAATCCATATAAATCCGATGGAACTCCTAAGGATTCCTGAGGATACCCATAGGAATCCAAAAGGGAATCAATTGGATTCCTTGGGAATTCCATGGGCCTCAAACAGCATCGGAAGGGGGGGGCTCGGGGCACGTTTGGCGAATTCAGCCACCATGAAAAGGGGGAGGGAGGAGGACAAGAGGCGCCGGCCCTGCAGAGGGGCAACCGGGAGCTGGGACTGCTCAGAGCAGCCCGGGGGGGTAAACCCCGCATTGCGCGCAAACGTACCGCGTCTGATTATATCCATGCCCGCGGCAGCCATGGGCATACGTTTGTCACTGCGGCGGTTCAAGAAGCTCACTTCGTTGGCGGGCAAGCGAATATCTTGGCCGCCATTTCCAACCCAGCCCCTCGCACCAGCGTCCGTGTCTGCGGGACCTACAGACAAAGCGTGTACTAAGGACGAGTGGAAAGGACGCCAGAGAATTGAAGGCCGAAGTTGGGATTTTTGGGGCGGCGGGCGACCAACGAAAACGGCAAAGGACGGGCCGCAGAAGCAAGGACACAAGGGCACCCTAGAAGAAGGCGCGCGTCCTTATTAGGCACGTTGGCTGTGCGGTATATTCTCGCGACGTCGCGGGGGCGTGGCCGAGCCCTGGCCAGCCTGGGGGGCCCGTCGACGCGGGGCCTAATGGCGACGCCCGACCTCAGTGGCGCAACATCGAGATGCTCGAAGCATGCGCGATCGGCTGGTGTCTTTACTGGTTGGACACTGGGAGCGGAGGAGGCTCGGCGGGTCCCGGAAACCAGTTGAAGGGGTGCCAGCTGCATTTGCGCAGGGACGCCCGGGCTTCAACGGATGATCGCCACCATCTTTTAAGGGGAACGCCTCACTATCGGCGGGCGGATGTCTCGGCCCCCATCCATCCGAGCCGCGACCGACATTCCTTCCGTCGGACTTCTGGCCCCCTGCAGTCTGCGCTATGCGGCGGTGGACGGGAAGGGAATGAGAAGCAAGCGGACGACGGCGAACACGCGGGCGGGGAGCCAGGGCCAGCGGCGTGAAGCAGGCCAGGCGGGCGGGCAGGCGGGGAGGACCAGAGGGGAGACAGCAAGTGAGCAGCAAGGAAGGAGAGGCCGAGGGAAAAGGAAGAGGGGCGGGGGACCAGAAGGAAGAGAGGAACAACCGCAAGCAGACGGGCCGGAGAGAGGGGGGGGCTACCCACGACAAGGCCGAGTGCGGACATTTCGGCGGCGACCGCGTCAAGGCGGCGAAAGGCGAGGAACTGCTGGAGTGCGTGGCAGCTGTCGGGCTCGTCCCAGGGGGGTGGTCGTGGGTGGACGTTGCAGGGGGGTTGTCGCAAGGGGGGGTCGTTGGTCGGGAGAGGCGTCGGGAAGGGCGGCGGGGGCGTTGTGGGGTGCCTGAGCGGCTTGGCGGGGATGGCCCTCTTCGGGGCCCATCCACTGACCAGCCGAGTCTCTGCGGCCAGCACGCGCGAGGGGCTGCTGACGGAATTGACTCGATCATCTGTCTCCTCACGTGGCTCTGGTCGCAGGCGGCCCTTGCCTCGGCGCTCTCAAAACTGGCAGCCTCTTGCCCTGCGACGTCTACGCGAGCCGCGTTTTCGACAAAAACGGCTCACGCTGTCCCTCCTACCTGATTGCTCGGCCTGCAACCGGGGATCTACTGACCTGGGTCCATCCAGGTCAATCAGCCTTTGGAGGATCCTGCAAGATCCATCCTGCAGGACCCTGCACCCAAGCCTGGGTCAGTGCAACCCAGGCTCTGCAGGATCCTGAACGATGCGGGGCTCTGACTGACCCCGATTGCATGGACCCCCGTCTCTAAGAGCTCCGATCTTCTCAGCAGCCCTCTGGCCTTCACATGCTCATCGACCGCGCGCTTGCAGCGACCGAGCCGCCGCGCGCCAGCGAGAGGTCGGGGCGCCGAGGGTCCCACGGGCCACGTGCTCACAGGCCCTTCGGCCCCGAGCACGCCTCGACGCAGGGCTCGACGCAGGGCTCGCCGGCCGCGCCCGCAGCCCTGGCGGAGGAACGAGCTCGCCATGACTGTCTGGCAGACGGACTCCGGCTTCACGCCCCGGCCAGTGGCGCTGCGCCGTCGCCCGGGGCATGCGCCGACGCTGCCCCCTGCGGCCGCGCTGCCCGCCGCGGCAGCGCTGGCCGCGGGCGCGGAGCCCGCTGCAGGGAGAGCCACGCCGCCCAGCTTCGCGATCAGGCCTGGCGCCGACGACGACGACGACGACGACGACGACGACGACGACGACGCCGACGACGACGACGACGACGACGACGACGTGCGTGGCGGGCGGGGGCGCGGAGCCAGGCGCCCTCCTCCGCGCCCGCGGGTTCCATCTGCGCGACGCGCCCCAACACCTCCGGGGGTCGCGGAGGGCATGCCGAGGAGCCACAGCCACCAGCGGCGACGACGAGGCCGCCGGCGGCGACCGCGGCGACGAGGAGCTCGGCGGCGACGGCGGGGACGGTGCCCGCGCCGATGGCCACGGCGGGGCCGACGACGACGCCGAAGACGACGCTCGAGCGGGGACGCCGACGAGGCCGCCGCCGCCGACGATGGCGACGGCGACGGCGACGGCGACGAGGCCCACGAGGGCGGCGGCGGCTGCTGCGGCGACGGCGCCGTCAGAAAGGCGAGCGTCAGCGGCCGTCGTCCTCCTCCTCCTTCTCCTCCTACTCCTCCTCCCCCTCCTCCTGCTTCTCCTCTTCCTCCTCCTCCTCCTCCTCCTCCTCCTCCTCGTCCTCCTCCTCCTCCTCTTCCTCCTCCTCATCCTCCTCCTCATCCTCCTCCTCCTCCTCCTCCCCCTCCTCGCCATCCTGGTCGCCACGGTGGTGGCAGCTGCCGCCGCGGTCATGGCAGTGATGAGTCCGCCGTCGCCGCCGTCGGCCTTCGGTTGCCTGCAGTGCCGGGCGAACCACCCGACGCTCTGGGGCTTCTGCGCCTCAGCCACAGGAGGACGCCAGCGCCGAGGGGCCAACAAAACAACGCGCGCCAGGCCCCGCGCAGGGCGATGCCGTCGCCGTCGGATGAGTTCGCCGCCGCGATGAATCGGGTGCCGCCGCCGTCGCCGCCGTGATGGGTCGGGCGTCGCCGCCGTCGCTGTCGGCCGCTGGACACGCGCGACGCCCACGCCGCGCCGTGGCGCCTGCGCGCAGAGCGACGCGGGCAGCAGCGTGGCCGAGGGTTCCCCCAGCGGGGCGTCCGCGTGCAGCTGCCCGAGCTCCTCCGCCTCGCCCAGTGCGGGCGCCGCGGGGCCCTTCGCCGTCGGCTTCAGCCGCCGCGCGGGCGGCGGCGGCCGCGGCCGCTGGCGCGCGGCGGCTGGGGCCACCTGCCGTTGCGCCAGCCGTCGTCGCGGCTCGTCGTCTGGTCGTCGGTCGTCGGTCGCCAGCCGGCGGTGGTGCTCGTCGTCGTCCTCGTCGCAGTCCGTAATCGTGATGGTGGTCGTGGTCGTCGTCGCCCGTCAATCGTCGCCACCGCCATCGCCGCCGTCATCAGCGTCGTCGTCCGCTGTCGTCGTCGTGGTGGTGGTCGTCGTCGGCCTGCGGCTGCACCAGCGGCTGCCCCTGCAGCGGCTGCCCAGCGGGCGGGTCCGGCTGCCGAGCCCTCCGCAGCGAGAGGGAAGGATTTTTTGTTTTCCTTAGAGCACCCTCTGGCGACTCGAGCAACAATCATTCGGGCAGCGGTCGAGAACTCTGGGGGCAGGCGACTCGAACAAAAAGAGAGATCGTCGGAGGTCTGGGTTGAATGGGGCCCAGGGACACACAAATAAATAGACTGATGCTCGGGGAGCCGCAGTGAGGGAGGGGGAGTGTGTAGCAACGGCTGCACTGCAGGCTCGAGTGCTAGAGGCTGGTGGCTAGAAAGGCGTGTTGGGCGCGATCTGGGGGGGGAGAAAGTTTCATTTTCGGGCCCTACAGCCCCCCTTCTGGGCCTGAAGGGCCCTTTCAGATGCCTAAAGGGCTTACTTCCGGCAGCCCTCACTACCCCCCTTTTATCGCCCACCCCTTACGCGCCCCCCAAGGGGTGGCCTCCGCGGGGTCCGCCGGCTGATCGAGGGGTTTCGCAGGGGCTCCGCCCAGATACTCAGTCCCCTGGGACATGTGGACATCGTATGAATCTGCACTTCGAGGGCCGCGAGGGGGGCATCATCTCGGAACACCCTTCACGAACATCGTGTCCCATGGACCCATGGACATCCAGATGTGCTGAGCTGGCCCACAGGCCGACTCCAGCGCTCGCGAAATCGGCACAGCCCTCGCGCACTTCGCGCCCCCTGGGCCTCCAGAGGCAATGAACTGGTTCAATAGACCCAAGATGAGCTCAAGTCGGGCCTGTCCCCCTACAGGGGGCATATTATGCGGCAGATTCAAAAATAATCCAAAAATAGTCTGGGAACTATTTTTTCGCAATTTTGGGGCATGCGTTTCGTGGCCCCATAAGGGGGCTCCACGGAAGGTCCCAGTGGCACCGCCCGCATGCGTCCGCCACCACCCAAGACGGCCCTTGCTCCTGGCGTGTCACCCGCCCAGTACAGCGCTTCGTGGCCCCATGGGGAGCGCCACCGTACTCACAACTGCACATGGCTGGGTCTTTCGCCAGGCTAACGTTTGACAATGTTTGGGCATGGGGGGAACATGTTTAGAGTATGTTTGATCTGTCGTCCAAAATCCCCCTGTAGGGGGACAGGCCCGACTGAAATAGGGGCCCAGGATGAGCCCGCCGCCCCTCGCTGGTCTCCACGACTGCCCAGTATACGTCCAACGCGGCCCAAGATTTTCCTTCAGGACGCCCCCAAGATGTCCACGAGACACGGGAGAAGTCCAGGAACAGCCACTGAAGCCCCAACAAGTCAGCAACAACTTTGCCAAGAACGTCTCGCGGCCATCCCACGAATGTTCGCCGGCTCGTGATTTTGCGTGCTGGTTTTCCCGAGGTGGCCCGCTGTGACTCCCGCTCTAAGGGCTCAGCAAGGATTCAAAAGGCTCAGGGAACGCCCGTCGACACGCAGGAAACGCAAGGAAACAAGGGACGGGTGCCCAGCACCGAGGGATGCGAGGGTCTCCAAATCTCATGCACTTAGACGCGTGACTAGTCCAGACAACGTTTCCTAAATTGGCGCATCGCACACCGCGATGCGGGACGCGCGATTATGTCCGCCTTCCCGCGGGCGACGTTTCGGGGGCGTTCCAGAATGGGATCAGTAAGAGAAGGCGTCCGCATCATGGCGGGTCGTCCCCGAGGTGTGTGCGCAGACGAGGGGGGGGGGGGGTACGTGGATCCCGGGAGATCTGGACCCCTTCCCCAGGACCGGCTTGTCATCCCGAGCTGCCTCTGGCCAGTGCAGCCGAATATTGAAAACCCCCTGTCGTGTGGGTGGAGGACGTTGTTCGCCGTTCTCGGGCTCTCGGCCCCTCTCCCGTCGTTTGGGGGCTCCTCCTCCTCCTCCTCCTCCTCCTCCTCCTCCTCCTCCTCCTTATCTCGACAACGAGAGGCGGTGGGGGTGGAGCAGGGCGGAGCAGGGGTGGAGCAGGGGGTGGAGCCGAGCGGTCCCCTGACCCCTCTTGGGCTAAGTCGGGCCTGTCCCCCTTCAGGGGGATTTTGGACGAAAAATAAAAACTTGCCCCACATGCCCAACAAATTGTCAAAGAATCGTCCCCAGACTATGTTTTAAAACATGTTTGATAATATTCCCCCTGTAAAGGGACAGGCCCGACTTAGCTGAACCTAAACGGTGTTTTTTCGTTTTCGCTTTGTTTTCGTTGTCCCTCGTTGTGTCTTCAATCCGCCTTTACAGCAAAACGAACTGGAAAGGAAAACGGCCTACGGCATCACCAGAAAGCATCGTTCAGGTCCAGCCCTGGAGCAGAGCGGTCCCCTGACCCCCCCTGGGGCCAATCAGAAAAAAAAACAACTGTCCGAGCTGTGTCCAGCCGTGGCGACGAGGGGACACCCTGCAGGCCGGCCTGCCGCTGCCTCCGGTGGGCCCCTCCTCGCATGGACGCCACCTGGCCCCGGCCTCCCGCCCTCGTGCGATGTGTCCATGGCGTGGCCCTCCGCAGGCCTGTCGGGTCGGGCGCAAGGGGGGGATAGCAAAGGGGGGGTTTGAGAATCAGCTCACGTAGCTGATTTTCCCGGCGCCGGAGGCGACTATGTATCGAGGAATGGGCCCCTCGGTGAGGCCGAAACCAGCTGCATGCAGCAAATTTCGTAACCCCCCCTTTCCCAATCCCCCCCTTTCGCCCGGCCCGAGCCTGGGCCCCTCCCCCCGGGCTACAGCCAGCCCGTAGAAGGAGGATGCGCGGTGAGGATGCAAAGGGTCGAACAGCTCTGCGGCTCATCTACAGCTCGAGCTAAGTTTAGAAAACCGACAGCGCCTGCCCAGATGACACTCAACAGCCGATCCCGCTTGAGTGCTTCTTGATAGTACTATCCACCCGATCGACCTGAGATCAAGATGGCGAGCGGGAATAAGATCAAAGATCACGGGGGAAAATATTATAAGAGCTCTAACGACATGTCGACACTTTGCGAGCGGGGAGCGGCCAGCGAAAGCGGTCAAGGATAGCCCGAGGAGGCAAGGGTGCAAGGGTCGCCTTGGAAAATTGCTCGTCCTTACTATGCGGGTTGACTGTGCCATTGCCTCGAATGGCCCTCCTCGGATGGAGGCCCCCCGGCCCCGGACCCCCCCCGCCTCCTAATTTATCCACGACGTGGACCTCCACGGGATCAGACCCCTTCCCCTGGACCGGCTTGTCGTCCTGAGTCGTCCTCTGACGGTCACGAAGCGCGGTCAGAGCTCTGGAAGAACGACGACTATCAAAACCCGTCCGTCGTGCTTTTCTGCATGGCCAAAGGGTGTCTGGGGCCCAGCCCCCCCCCCCCCCCCTCCCCTCCCCACCCCGCCATCCACCTCCCCGTCGTGCTCATGCTCCTCAACATCCTTGCAGTTGCCCGGGCTTGTTGTACAACTACCTCCTCCCTCCTCCCCCCTCTACCCCAGCCTCCTCCCACGTCACCCTCCTCCCCCTACTCTCTCCCCTCTCCTCTCTCCTCTCCTCTCCTCTCTCCTCCTCATCCTCCTCTTCCTCCTCCTCCTCCTCTTCCTCCTCCTCCTGCTCCTCTTTCTCCTCCTCCTCCTCCTCCTCCTCCTCCTCCTCCTCCTCCTCCTCCTCCTCCTCATCATCATCATCATCATCATCATCATCATCATCATCATCATCATCATCATCATCATCATCATCATCATCATCATCATCATCAGCATCAGCAGCAGCAGCATCATCATCATCATCATCATCATCATCATCATCATCATCATCATCATCATCATCAGCATCATCATCATCATCATCATCATCATCATCATCATCATCATCCCTCCTCCTCCACTTCTTCTTCTTCTTCGTCTTCTTCTTCTTCTTCGCGTTATTGTTACTGCTATCGTCATTATTATCATTATGATTCCTCTTCTTCTTCTTCCTCCTCCTCCTCCTCCTCCTCCTCCTCCTCCTCCTCCTCCTCCTCCTCCTCCTCCTCCTCCTCCCCCCCCCCTCGTGCCGATCCCTCGGCCCAGGGGCACCCCAGTGGGTCCCCACGCCCCCTTCGCACCGCAGGGGGATCCCCCCCGGGCTCCGGAGCCCGGCCCCCGTCTCCGACCGCGCCTCGGCAGCAGACCGGCCGGGCCTCTCGCGCCTCTATAGATTGAACGGGGCCCTGGGGCACACCAATAAAGGAGCACAAACAGCAGGATTCCCCATATTTTCTGGGTTTTTGTCTTCCCCCCCACTTCCCATATTTTCCCATATTTTTTCGGGGGGATCGACGATCAATTGTGCCTGTGTGTTTTTGTTCCCCCCCTGGCTCTGGATCGGGGAGACGCAAGACTCGGGTGCGGGGGGACTCGGGCCAGCCTGAAGGGGCCATCGTGAAAGCGACGAGGCGCCATCTGAAATTTGACGCGAGCTCCCGCTGCAAGCATCCCACGACAACTGGAGCGTCAAAACCCAAGACGCGCTCGTTAGAAAAAGTCAGCAAGCTCGAGTCCCGGCTTACTCGAGTCTTACGCTTCCCCAGCAGGATGGGGTCGGAGTAGATGGGGTCGGAGGATCGCGCCGCATCGCCGATGCATCGCCGATGCATCGCCGATGCACCGGCGATGCACCAGCGATGCACCGTCGACGCATTGAACACGTCGTCGTGGAGAAAATCGGGCTCCACACCGCGCCGCATCGGCGATGCATCGGCGCTGCGGCGCGATGCTTCGACCCCATCTACTCGGACCCCATCTGGGAGGCCTAGATCGGCGGCGAGCGGGGGGGAAGTGCGCAAGGGCGGGCCTTCTCAGAGGGCTCGGAAGTTCCCCGGCCTTCAGAGAAGCTCTCGAAGCCTTCCCCGAAGACGCAGAAAACTCCTCAGCAGGCGCGGGGCCTTCTGAGAAGTCCCGCCTCGGGGATGGACAGACCCCCCTTTAGTAAAACGTGGTTTAGTGAAAACGACCTGAGGCCCAAACCTGGCGGGCGCAAGCCTGGAAACTAACGGCCACGGCGCCATCTCGAGAACCAAAAACGGACAATTCACTAATCGACGTGTCACTGTTGGGGGTTCTGTCCACCCCCGACCGCCACCCTCTGAGAAGGCCTCCTCCTCCTCCTCATTCCCCCCTCGCTCGCCGCCGGCTAGCAACGGGCCGCCTCCCCTCGGGCCTCCTCTCCCGCCTCCCCCCCGCCCCTCCACGACCTCCAGGCCAGGTACTCCGCCGTCGAGGCGAAGGCCCGCGGCGGCTCCGGCGGCGGCGGCTCCCCGCCGCGGCCGCCTGCCGCCACGGGGGCGGCCGCCGGCGACGAGCGCGGCCAGTGCAGCAGCAGGCCGGTGACGTCGTCGCACTGGCCGTCGGCCGCCTGCCGCCACTGCTCCTGCGGGGGGGGGGGGGCGTGAGCGAGGAGGTGCGGCGATAGGGGGAGAGGGCAGCTCGCCATCGCTCGGGCGTCCATGTCCCGTGCACTGGTGTTCGGCGTCGCGTGCCCACTCTTTGCTGCCAGAAGATCCTGGATGCTCCTCGAAAGCCATCGCCGAACAAAAAGGCACACGTGCGAGCCATGCCAGGGCACAGGAAACGGAATCGTTGGATAAAAGATCCTTCTCTCCCCTTCCTCCCCCCTCTCGTGTTTCTCCTCGTGTCCATGTTTGCTTGCCCTCTCCCTCCTCTCGTTTCTGCCTTCTGCCTTTCGCCCGCTCCCCCTCTCCCCCTTCGCGTTACACCACGATGCGGGCCCCGACTTGGGACCCCGCTCGTGGGTTGCATGTCTGCGGCGCTGATGTTGCAGTATGGTGAGGTCCCTTGGATACCATCGGATAAGGAACCCCGGGTTCTAGAAGCTGGTGGAACTCCAATCGTGGACTGGTCATGGATATCACCGCCGTCCTTATTAGAAAACTAGTTACTGCATCCTCCAGCGCCCGAAACCTCCAGGGTAAATTCCTGAACGAATGCCCCCATCGTAGGTGGAGGACTGGCGCAGGGGGGAACATCGACCTGGAATCGGCGATGCATCGCCAAGGGCCCGCGATGGCAAATCCGCACGTTCCTGGGCGGGGTGGGGCTATCAGGACCCGATCGGTGATCAATCTGCGATCGGGGATCGATGCGTTGCCCTCTGGGCCAAACACCGCTTATCATATCGTAGCCCTAGGCATGCTCGCGTCGTGGAAACATCACTACGGGGGGGTCCTGGGGGACCTCTGAGGGATCTTGCTGGGCCCCAGGACCGTCAAAGAACGGCCTGGGATAACAAACCAACAAACTGGCCCTGCATGGGAAACGCGAAGAGACTTCTGGGGACGCCGCACTGAAAGAACGCAAGGCATCGCATGTCTGGGACTCCTCCTGTCGGGGGGCGGACGGTCGGGAACTGCTGCTCAGCGTGTCGGAGCGGGGGCCAGGGCGTCACGCTGTGCGCTGCGAGCGGATGGTGTGTCGCCCCGCTCTGCGGGGCGGGAGGCTGGGACGAGCTCGGGACGTTGACACTTCGAGACGTGGACGTGGTTCGCGGGCCGCACTGGAGCACGACAGCCTGGAGCTGGTGGCGCGACACGCCATCGGCAAAGCGCTCCTGACCGCCAGGTGAGCGCCTCGCCGAGCCCGGCCAGGCCGACCGTGGGCCCAGGACCGGTGCCCATGCCAACATGGCCTGGCCGGGAGAGTGCCCACATGGCAGCTTCCAGTGGCAGCTTCCAGCGACCGTGGACCAACAAATGGGCGACGAGAAGAGAAGGGTTTTGCGCGAGATGGCGTGGCGACCTTGCGCGGTGGCTCACGCGGGCCGCCAGCGCGGCACGCCTCGTTGGAAACCAGGGCGCTCACGCGCGACCTTGCGCGGGCAGCTTGCGCGCCAATGTCGGCGTAGACGACCCCGTCCCAAAGGCCATCTTCCAAAAAGGCGACGCCGCCGCGTGTGAGAACTGCAGGCCGATATCCCTCTGGCCCACCGGGTACAAGCTCTACGCCGCGATACAGCTCGCTCGCTTCAAGGATGCTGGCGCCGAGAGACAGATTCAGGACACACAGCTCGGGTGTCGATCGGGGACTGTCGCCAGACGCCACATCGAGGGCACCACCGACACAGCGTCGAGGAAATTACTCCTTCTCGCTCTTGACTGGGCCAAGGCATTGGACAACGTGTCGCCAGACAGCCTCGGCTTTGTTCAGTTTCGGCCTCTGGGCTTGTGAGCTCATGTACGCCGACGACGCCCAATCGTCGGAGCCGAAGTAGTACGTGCACCAGCCGATGGTTGGGCTTCAACTGAGGCAATCTCGAGGTGCTTTCGGTGGGATGCGAGACGCAAGCGGCACAACCAAACGGGGCAACAACTCCGCAGAGGGACAACGTGGTCTATCCGGGTGGGCTGAACTGATCACTTGGGAAGACGCTGGAAACACGATCGGCCGTGGAAACCAAATGAACTTGCCATGGCGTGCAAGGCAACCGGCGACGAGGACATATTGCTTCAGCTGTGGCAAGGGAGCGCCCAAACGTGGCAACATGCAGCGCGTAATTACTGCTCACAGCTTGCAGTGTAAGTCGGTAACGCTCAGTCTGTGTACTACTACCGACGCAGCTCTGACGTGCATGGCGCGCTCGCTCACTGCTTCCGCTGCCTTCCCAAGGTGGAGAGGCCCTGGCTTCACGTCATTCACGTCCGCCCGCTTCCACCGCCTTTTGCCGAGAAAGGGATGTCAAACTCTATATTCCTCAAAGAGGCGAGACCCTTTCTGGAACGCCCCACGAGGGCCTGGCCAGGATTGGTGTGGTGGCCAGTTGAATGAAGAAAGAAGGCATGTCCTACGCAAGAGGACATAACGACTTTATGTGGTGGCTTACGTGGTGGCATAATCGGGCCGCCAATGTGGCGCACCGCGAGAAGAAGAGGGCGCTTACGCGCGAGCTTACGCGGGAAACTTACGCGCGAATGTCTGCACCATCGACTCCGTCCTTTCCGTCGCCCACATGGACCTGGCAAAGATCGGTGCAGTGGTCGGTACGGCGTGGGCATATTTTTTTTTTTTTTGTTTATCTCTGTGGGCGCGGACAAAGGTCCACGGTTTCATGCAAACAAATTCAAGCAGGCGGGACGGCCGCCGCCCTCGCGGCTCGCCCGCGTTCGCGGGCCGCCGCAGCGTCCGCGAAGCCGTGGGCTCGGAGGACGCCCTCGAGCCCTGGGCGGATCTGCCGCGGCTCGGCTGCCTCCGCCCGCGGGGCCGCCGCTGCCAGGCGCCGCGGCGCCGTGGCGCTCGGCGGCGCAGCCATCAGGCTACCAGCGCCAGCCGCAGGCGGCGTGGGCGGGGCTGCAGCAGGCTGCCGCAGCGCTGGCTCGGGCGCCGCCTCGGTCGTCTGCACCTCCGAGCCGTGGCCCTGCCTGGCCTGGAGCGCCGCCGCCCAGCGCAGGCGCGTGCTTGCCGTTGGCGAGGCCAGCGGCGCGATCGGCTCCTTCGACGCTGGCAGGATCTCACGTGCGAAGTCCGACCGCGCCTGGGCTCTGGATCCCTTCTTGCTTGTGGGCTGCCCCGCCGCCGCGCTGGCCCCGCGCGGCTTGCCCAGGCCGCGGCGCGCGTACCTGGGGAGGCGGCAGTGCATCCAGCAGGCCGCGCAGACCAGGAAGGGCTCGGAAACGTCGCCCTCGACGCGCGACTCCACGAGGAGGTGGCCGTTGACCCTCCATCCCGCTGGACGGGTCGCATCTGCCGCCTCCGCAGGGGCTGGGCCGCTGCTCGTCGCCTCCGCCGCCGCCAGGCGCGGGCTGGGCGCGGGCGCCGAGGCCTCGCGGCGCCTCGGATGCTCGTGCGCCCTGCGCTGGGCTACACGGCGCAGTACCTCCGCGGGCGACTCGGCCGAGGCGGGGCGGCGCCTCGCGGGCGAAGGCCGCGAGCTGGAGGCGCCAGCTGCCGCCGCCGCTGCCAGGGCCGCCGCCGTGGCGAGGCGGGGGCCGCCGTCAGCCGCCGAGGGCTGCGCTACGCCGACGTCATCGCCAGGCTCGGCGTCGGGCTCCTTCAAGAAGCCAGTCGCTGAAGCGGCAGCCCCGCGCACCTCAGCGTCGTGCATCACCTCGAGCTCGCCGCGCCCCTGGGACTGCGACGTCGGTGGGCTGAATCCACCTGTCCTAGGGGCGGGCTCCGCCGCGGCGGCGTGCAGGAAGTCGGTCTCGCCGTCGAGCTCCGCCGCCATGTAGGGGGTGAGGTCGACGAGCTCCAGCGAGCTGATGGGCCAGGAGTCCCGCAAGCCCGACTCCGTAGCCTGGACCTCGAACTCGGCGGCGCACCGCGCCGCGTCACGGGCGCGGGCCAGGCAGCCCTGGAGCAGGAGGGCCTCCTCGTCGGCGATGGCGCGCAGCGCCGCGCCCGCCTTCGCGAGCTGGTCCGCGAGGCGGTTGCCGTAGAGCTCCACCTCCGAGAGTACGCCCTGCTCGACTGCCGCCCGAGAACGGTGGGCGGGGATGTGCTTCACGTGCACCCCCTCGGCGGCGTCGCCGACCCTCGCCCAGAGGTGGGCAAACTGGGCCGTCGGGGCCGCCGCCCTCTTCACGTCCTTGCAAGCCCCGACCGTGCCGAGGCAGTCGATCATGAGGTGGTAGTGGCCGACGATGTCCGTGAGGGCGACCACCGCCGCGTAGTCCTCGCCTGCCCTCGCCGTCTGGCTGGGCAAAAGGGCAGGCGGCACTGCCCCCCACGCCTGCGCCAACCACTCGCCGTCGGGCGTGAGAACCACCACTGCCCAGCCCGCGCTCCTGACCATCGGGAAGTCGTTGTTGACGCAGGAGCCGTCCGTGAAGACGAGGGAGCCCGCGGGCACCACGAGCGCGCCCTCGCCCCAGCCACGCGAGCGGCGCTCCCAGCGAGGGTCCCAGCGCGGCCTCTGCACCAGGTACTGGGCGTCAACGAAGAGGCCCTGGCAGAAGAGCTCCTCGTAGCGGTGGCCCATTGTGCTCACCAGCTCGGCAGCTCGCTTCAAGTCGGCGGGCCTGCGATCTCGCCGCCAGCCCTCCCAGGCAGGGCATCTGTGGTGGCGGTGGGCCAGAGTCCCGCTCTCCTCGCCGCAGAGCAGGCAGCGGTCGTCGATGTCGGTGCCACGCTTGGCCAGCCTGGCCTGCGGCCATAGTGACAGAGACGCCAGCCTGCGCAGGCAGCCGCAGTGGTGGCTGGACCACGTCTCCGTGGGCGCGGCGCCGAGGAGCTGGTTGATGGCCCGCCAGTTTGGCGGCAGCTGCCACGGCCACAGGGCATCAGGCCTGGCGTCGTACTCCTGGAAGGCTGCCGCCTTCCTGGCCGCCTCCTTGGCCTTCTCCGCAAGGAAGGCGGGGGAGTACCGAAGGACGGAGTAGCAGCAGCCGAACTCGTCCTGCAGGGAGTCGCCGTCGTCGC